ATGTTCGCCCCTGCCAATTGCTCCTCCTCGTACTTGTCGAACTCTGCAAGAGACTTAATGGTTAGCCGTCCGGGATTGGCCACCACTTTGACAAGAATGGATAGTAGTTCCTTTATATCCACACGCGATAGTCCAGATCCACCAGCTGCCGTGCGAACCAACCGGTACACCCGAGCATCAATATCAACCGAAGTTGCATCGCACTCAGGGGCAAACAAGTAGCCCGTCGCATCCTCATTCAATTCAGCCGCGTCCGGTTGGTGATCCAAACGGCTCGGCCCTGGTTGTGTTTGACTTCGTGGGCGTTTGCTGGATTTCGAGAGAATGTGGTCTGCAGCTGCTTGAAGACTTCCTACAGCTCCTCCCTGGCTGCTGTCATCTCGCAATCCCTCAGATGCTGCCTCTGCTGGTTGGAATTTGTGCTTTCCTGCCTTGACGTGACGTGCTTTCTGATGTGCAAAAGAGAACGTCGCTATACATCCAGGGTAGCCACACTTGAAAGGCCTCAACTGATCAGCCATGTTGCAGAAAGGAAGGTTGCAGGTATCCAACTGTAGCACAATAATGCGCTGTATTACATTGAAGTACACAAAACACCCACTCCAAGCTGCTCAGTGCTACTCTATCTACAGCTTCTACAACCAGAAACTGTCTTGGCCGAAGGGTAGAACAGCAACCTTCTGATTTCCTGCAGGATCAGAACAAAACGAAAACCAGGACAGGTTAAAAACGCCAACCACTTCCTGTAAACAAAAATGATACAGCACAATTGGACCTAAGACAGGAATCAAACGAACACATACGCTAAATCAATAGACAATGTTGTGCAGCATGATCGAAAATGCTTACCAAGAGCTTCAGTGTAAAGGCGTGAATGGAGATGAGCGGACCACAAGGAGACACGCTTGCAGATTGCCAAACCTTGGTATGATAAAAAGGGGGGAATCAGCAAAACATCAAAGAAAATCGTTGCAGAACATAACGAATGACGTCAACGTATAAAAAATCCGTCATAAAATCACATTGTCAGATTGATCGACTCAGCGAAGACAAAGGTTAGTGACATTTAAACATAAATTCAAATTTACGTTGATATGGTAGCGAAATGAAAGTGCACCTGCCTACACAAAAAAAAATATCACCTACATTTGTCACAGTGACGGACTCCGATGGGTCTCGTGGTGCTGTATCAATATCCTCAATGCGCCTATTCGAATCCGACAGGGACGTAGGCTAGGCGCTGGAGCTTCTGGAGAAGCTTGAGTTAAGGAAGGTGAAAAAAAACACTATCTGAGAGAAACAAGTGAGAAATGACGAAGCCTCAGAGACTACCCCCCCGAACGGAAATGCTTGGGGGGAGTGCGAGGAGATAGTTGAAAGGGACCTCTGAAGGACGAGGCGTCATTACATGTGTGTTACACACCCAACCTGAAAGTTTACAACAGTTGTTTAGACACGTTTGACCTCGCACAACCGCACTTCACCTTTCATTTCATTACGAATTCACGTTTTTGTTCGTTGCGATGGAGGGAAATACGATTGGTTTCCAACGGTGCAGGTCAACCGAGGGTAGGAGGTTGCCACGCGTCAACGAACCCACCACACGTGCACCTTGACAAGTGATTTTGCTTTGTCCTCACGCGGGACACGCCAGCAAAACGACGAACCAAGGGCTGGGCAGGGCACTCAGCCACTCCGACTGCTGCGAAATCGGGCGGCTGATCCTTGGGCGCTGTTGGGGGCCGAGCCAAGATCGCACGTGGCTCGGTCGAAAGCTGACACAGCCCGGGCCCCAGCTCGGCTGGGACCACCTGACCCAACTACACCAGGGCTGTGCCCGGCTGACGCAACACGCACTTTCGACTGGTTACCCAGCGAAAAGAAAATCTGGCGCGCAAACACCTGACGCGTCAGCATTTCTGTTGTGCGAACAGCAGAAGCGAAGTATCCACCTACCTGGAATGTTTCGCGCTGGCAAAGTATTGATTCGCCTGCAACCTCCAAATTCCCCCACCCTGTGTGCACCTGGACAGACCCGAACGTTGAATGATCTGTCCCTGCCAGGGCCCACGCGCGATCTATCTGTAGATGGGCTCCTCGCAGGTTGACTGGGCGATACTTTACAGATTGGATTAAACGGCCAGGATGAATCGTATGTGCAACGTTTCCTATCTGTATAGTGAATTTCTCATACATATTCAACAATACTACCAACAAGCGTCGAAAAGGCAATGCCCTTGCGATTATGTGTTATGGAGTCTACAGATTGAAGGTACCCTAAACTGTACCAATTTCACGTAATTTATTAACGATTTCGTTACATGTGTAGTAGGTGTGTGATTCTAATTCCACTACAACACTAAATTAATGTACTTCCAACGTAATTCATACGCCATGTTATGTCTGCATTGTATGTTAAGAATCCTGTTCTATTTTCATGCTAAAGATTTGCATGACTTAAATACGCAAAAAATACAACAAAATATTCAGAAATCACATTTAATGTTTGCACGTACATAAATCCACATCAACTAACACGATAAGTTACACTGGGAACATTTATACAAGATAATGGAATCTCAAACCATCGATGGTAGAGGCAAAATTTCGACCAACCAGAACGTGCAGGCGTGGAGCTTCGTGACTGGCCAAAATCTTCAGAGCTACTTCCAAACCTGTGCCAAACCTACAACTCACCATCCATGCCTCGAAATCAGGTGCGACCTCTCGGACTCGCGCTGGGCAACACGCAACCGATACGACACCAAAGCATCCAAAGCGCAAACCATTGGCCAAAGCCAATGGTTTGCAAGTCGAAACCACTGGTTTTACCCAACCAGTCGCTGGCAACTGGTTTCCGATACGAAAGCGAGAAAACATAGTTTCGCGATGAAGTTGGGAGGGAGGCGTGCCGTTACTTCTGGTGCTAGTAGTACTACTAGAAGACAAAGTGCTAGCGGTACCCTATAGCGGCAACGAGCGGCAGGCGCGGCGGCTAACCTGTGGTACGTACCCTCGTCTCGCTGGACCAGACTGACGTGGGTGCTCGCTCGCTCGTATGAAAATCATGATTATACTTGGTCCAGACCGCAGCAACTCGTGGCCTCGCTGGACAGCAACAAACACGCTGCTGGTGACCGAAAACTTTCTCACCCTGGGGATTTGCCTGCAAACATCGTCAGGGTGGTACTGTTACCCGTGAACCTTTCGATAGCTGAAAACCGTGTGCCCTAATTAACGACTAATTTTCTGCGTTGCGTCTTGGATGTAGGTGGCGGTGCGAGCGACAACTGCGAGGACGAGGCGAGGAATCCATAGTCACAGTGACATTTCTAGTAATGGCAGGAATGGACTAGCCTTTCACGAGAAAGAACAATGGATCTGGTCTGGTTCTGAAGTGATAACAGCAGGAGCAGGCGGCAATATTCCACTGCTCGCCTCTTCTCTTAGAAACTGGAAAAATCAGTACCTGGTACGGAAACGAAATACTTAATTAACATTTTACAATCCGAGAGTAGGGTCCGTACTTGTTGAAAGGTTGTTTCCGCACAGCAAGCAGTCTATCGAAGTGTGAAGGAATTAGGTCTGAAGTATACCCGCAAAATCAGGGTTAATCGAACAAGCCTCGGTTCTAGGATGGTACGAGAAGGGTGCGTACCCGATGGTGTGATGTGAATCCGTATTTCTGCAGAAATCTGTTCATCCCTTGTCTGTCACCTCATAGGTCGTTTTGGTGTGATGTGAAGACTCGTATCGTGAGCACAGCGGAGTGGAGCGGTTGGATTGTTGGACGGGATGGGAGAGGGAGCTGGGCTTGGCGAGGGAGGGTTGAAACGGGAAAACGAACCGTCGCTGTCAGGGTTCTGCTACTGTAGTTTTGTCTCGATTTAGTATCTCAGTAGAGATGGGCGGGAGGGAGGTCCTACACCTCTTGTGCCTTCGGTGTACAGTCGAGTTCGGGGGAAGTTGAACGAGGATGTACTCAAAATCCACACTTCAGTTCAGGAAACCTATTTTCAGTTCAGGAAACCTATTTCAGGATTCAGGATTCAGGAAACCTATTTTCTTCACTCTCTTCAGCATCTGGAACCTTCACAAGTTAATCCCTTTAAAATTTCCCATTCATACAGCTATTCATGCTCTTGCGATTCAAGTTCTTTCACAAGCTTTGCAACTTTCCCCACTGTTCACGAATCACGACTCTCACATCAACATACCGGTAGGTAATACTATTTCTTTACTTGCTCAATTGTACAAAAAATATCCAACCATAGTACCGCAGCTACCGTATTCTCCCAGACATAACACCCTAGGGTATAGCTAAAAATACAGGGAAAAAAATGGGGGGGGTCTCCTCATAGGAAAAATATACATAATACCCGGGTCTTTACATATGGCATATTTTAGTGTTAGTGTTTTTTAAATTAGACAACGTGGGTGTTTTGATGGTCGTTTTAACAGCACTGTCTGAGGCGCGAATGTGAGTTTCGGCCGCGAACTTCATCACCCCTACGTAAATGCCCCATGTGGCACCTCTCTTGCCATTTGCAGCGGAATATTCACATGCACGTCGCGGCAGCGAAATAGTGGGAGGGGGTAAATCTCGGCAGATTGTAAGCGAATGTACCGCGAAATTTCATCGAGGGAGAAATTCTCGCGATATTCTTCCGTATTGCAGCTATTCGTTAACGACAGTGCCCTAGATATTGCAGCTATCTGAATTTTCAGACTAAAATTTTGAGGCACCTCTGACAGACAGAGTTCCATGAGGGGTGTACACTGATCGATCAGAGTGCCTCAAAACGAATCTAGGGGCCTGGTTAACGACTATAACCCTAAATCCATAAGAGAAGGGGGGTGTTATAGAAAATCAGCCAAAAAGGGGGGTATAGTAGAAACGAGGTCTATCATAACACCCACCCCGCACAAGCTACCCGGGGGGTGTACAATTTCGGCGGGTGTTATGTCCGGGAGAATACGGTATGCAAATTTTAGATTTTTCAGGACGATGCAGTGTCCTGTAGCTCTTCGAGGTCCTCTTCATCCACAGAACCCTCCATCGGGTTGCCTGACACAGTGCGGTTGCCAGGCCTTGCAGCAGATTGCCACTGCCCATCATGCAATCCTGGCAACCCACCTCCTGTCGCAACCAAGCCTTGCACTCTCCTTTCCCGCATCTCCTGCTTCTCTTGCCTCTCCTGCTTCTCCTTCTCCTGCTTCTCGTGCCATGAGCAACGCAAGCCCATGGAAGGACTATTCAGCACACAGGTCTTTCCGGAGAAAGACGCCGTGCACACCGCGCGTCTGTCACTCTGCTCCTGCTCCTTCTCCTGCTCCTGCAGCTGTGCATGAGCCTCTGGAGGCAGCAGCGCTTCCTTGCCATGAGAACCCGGCATGCGGGGAAGCGAGACGGGATGTGTGTGTTCATAGAGGGGAGGGCGGTGCCACCAGTACCCGCCTCTGGACCAAAGCTGCACGGGAATGGACTTTCGAGTTGACTCAAAAGTCAACTCGCCACCAGTACCCGCCTCTGGGCCAAAGCTGCACGTGAAGACAGCTGCGTGCTGCAGGCCCTGAATGGCCGCCTCAGGCTGCCACGTGGCACAGCCCGCCTCGTGTGCCTCGTGTGGCACAGCACCCCGGGGGTGAGAGGAAGGGCTCTGAGACGCCCCATCACTGCACCAGGGGATGCACTCCTCACCAGTCGCTGGCTGCGCTGGTGGTGCTGGTGGTGCTGGTAGATAGCAGGGTCCCTTCTTCAGTTGCACAGCCCTTCATCACTGGCGCCTTGTCATGGTGGTGATGGTGATTACGGTGCTGTTGATAATGCCCATTGTGAAGCGTCATCAAGGGGTTGCTTGCACGGATCCCTGGGACCAGTTGAGTCACCAGCAGCTTCTGATGCAGCAGCACCCTTGGAAACCATCCAATGCACCGTTGCAGGAGTCGCAGCAGTAGGAGCGGCAGCACTGACAGCAGTAGTAGTAGCAGTGGCAACAGCACCAGTGGCTACATCAACGTCAGGGGCAGCACACCAGCAGGCAGTGAAGTGCGGAGGGAGCGAGATGTGCTCTGTGCGCCACGCAAAGCATCGTTTCTTCGCCACGCCATGCCACAACAGGCTAGCCGGCCGCTTCTGCTCCTTCTGCCACTGCTGCTGCTGCTGCTGCTGCTGCTGCTCGTGCTGCCGCCGCCGCCGCCGCCGCCGCTGCTGCTGCTGCTGCTGCTGCTGCTGCTGAGAGATGGCGTGCGGATGGACCTGACGGACGCTAGTGGTCGCACAGAAGAGGGAGTGGGGGGGGGGGTGGTGGGAGAGGGAAGGGGGAGGGGGGAGAGGGGGGGGAAAGGGGGAGAAGAGGGTAAAGGAAGGTCCTCAGAAAGGGGGGCAGATTGCCCTTTCCAGCTTATGGTACTTTCGCCCAGCCCACTTCTTTTTTCCACCACTTTTCCAGTCAACTCTAGACGCCCCACACATGCAATAGGTGCAACAAACCTTTGTTCTTTTTTTAGCTTGCACCCTCCCCCGCATCCCCTCCCCATGTGGCAGGATCCCCACCTGCTGGCATCAGCGGGAGATGATGACTTAGTAGATCTGGGAGCTTAGAGGGCTGGCAGGCAGTGGGTAAATGGGACGGGATGCAGTGTAGTGAGGTGAATGGTTTTTTATTTAACAAAAAAAAAAAAAAAAAAAAAAAACAAACAAACAAACAAACAAACAAAAAAACAAAACAAAAATTGTAAAAAGGGCAAATGGAAAACTATATCCCTGGTGGAGCAAGCAAGGTATTACCATATAGTGGTGAAAAGGCACAAAATATGGCAAAGCAGGGCACATACTAAGGCTGGAGAGGGTTTCTTACCCTAAACATAGTAATTTTACTAGGGAGTAACACGGTTGGCGGGGCCGTTACGTCCGAAATGTTCCACTGAAGTTCAATAAAGAGGATGCAGTGTCTAGTAGCTCCCCCTCGACACAATCTTCAGAGCCGGACCATTTGTGGGACAGCTCACAGCAGATGCTGAGAATTTCAGTCAGTCTTCCCCCTGCAGTCAACCTCTCAGGGTCTCCAGTATCACCAAACCAGCCGCACTCCTCGTCGCTCTCCTGCCTCTCCTGCCTCTCCAGCCTGGTCTCCATCTCCTGCCCTATGCCATACAGGCTTGCTGACAGGTGATGCACCAGACACGCCTCACTGGAAACAGCAAATTCACTGCCTGCACTGCAATCCGTCTCCCATGCAGTGACATCAACATGAACCTCAGAATCTCTCAGCTGCTGCTGCTGCTGCTGTTGCTGCTGCTGCGGCGGCGGTTGCAGCTGCTGCTGAAGCAGCTGTTGCTGCAGCTGCACATTCGATAGTCCCTTTCTACCCGCAGCAAAAGCTTCTGGGGTCAGGCATTCCTGTTGCCAGGAGGGCGAGATGGAATTCAAGACGCATGTGAACGACGGAAAGGCGCACCGCCCTGTGGGCTCAACAAAGACGATGGGGAAGACAGCTGTTTTGGAATTATGAACGGATTGCTGCTCTTCGGGCGGAAGCAGCACTGCTGGCCCACTATGGGCGTGAGCTTTGTGTGCGTTGCCAGGCAGACAAGGGCATGCTTGGTCGAATCGAGTGCTTGTAGGAAGAGCAACACTAGAGGGGAACGCTAGAGATTCAGCTTCAGCTTCAGGGGCAATGGTGGAGGGGAAGACAGCACATTGCTGTGGCACTGAGACGTTATCGGGGACCTCGTCTCCCTCTCGGCTCAGAACGGGAAAGAGAGGCACCATGCGCGTGCAGGGTGAAGGGGAATCCTGAGTTCCAGCTTCGAGGGCAACGCTGGACGGGAAGACAGCGCATTGCTGGGCCACTGAGACGTTCTCGTGGGCCTCTGCTCCCTCTGGGCTCCCAGTCGAAAAGAAAGGTCGCATGCGCAGGCGGAGAGAAGGGGAATCCTGAGTTCCAGCTTCAGGGGCAAAGCTGGAGGAAAAGAGCGCACATTGCTTGGCCACTGAGACGTTCTCGTCGGCCTCTGCTCCCTCTGGGCTCCCAGTCGAAAAGAAAGGGCGCATGCGCAGGCGGGGAGAACAGGAATCCTTACTTCCAGCTTCAGGGGCAAAGCTGGAGGAAAAGACCGCACATCGCTGGGCCACTGAGACGATGTTGCGGGCCTCCGTCTGGGGTGCTCCATCTGGGCTGGCAGTGGGATCGCCTAGAGCCCAGCGCTTGTGAGTATTGGGACGGGGAGCTGTTTTCCGCAGCCCACCTGTCTGCTTTTGACGGCTGGCAGTGGGCTCGCCTAGACCCCAGGGCATGTGAGCATTGGGGTGGGGAGATTCCTCGGTTCTAGCTCCAGGGGCAAAGCTGGAGGGGAAAACAGCAGCGGATAGGCAGTGAATGGCAGGCTGCCACGTGGCACAGCCTGTCTCGCCATGCTGACTCGCTCCACCGTCAATCCACGCGTGCCTGCTTGGAGTGTTTACGAGCGTGCTGGGAGAAGTGACGTCACTTGTAGCTATCCCAGTCATCAGAGCAGTGTTCACTGGTGCATTGTCAGCCACGTGACAGCTGCATTGTCCTTCCACCAACGAATCGACATCCTCTACAGCCGCAGCAGCGGCGGCGGCAGCAGCAGCAGGGGCGGCAGTAGCAGCAGTAGCAGCAGCGGTGGCGGCAGCAGCAGCAGGGGCGGCAGTAGCAGCAGTAGCAGCAGCGGCGGCGGCAGCAGCAGCAGGGGCGGCAGTAGCAGCAGTAGCAGCAGCGGCAGCGGCAGCAGCAGCAGGGGCGGCAGTAGCAGCAGCGGCGGCGGCAGCAGCAGCAGCGGCGGCAGTAGCAGCAGTAGCAGCGGCGGCGGCGGCAGCAGCAGCAGGGGCGGCAGTAGCAGCAGTAGCACTAGCGGCGGCGGCAGCAGCAGCAGGGGCGGCAGTAGCAGCAGTAGCAGCAGCGGCGGCGGCAGCAGCAGCAGGGGCGGCAGTAGCAGCAGCGGCGGCGGCAGCAGCAGTAGCGGCGGCAGTAGCAGCAGTAGCAGCGGCGGCGGCGGCAGCAGCAGCAGGGGCGGCAGTAGCAGCAGTAGCAGCGGCGGCGGCGGCAGCAGCAGCAGCAGCAGCAGCAGGGGCGGCAGTAGCAGCAGTAGCAGCAGCGGCGGCGGCAGCAGCAGCAGGGGCGGCAGTAGCAGCAGCGGCGGCGGCAGTAGCAGCAGGGGCGGCAGTAGCAGCAGCGGCGGCGGCAGCAGCAGCAGGGGCGGCAGTAGCAGCAGCAGGGGCGGCAGCAGCAGCAGCTGATGTGTTAGAGCTAGCAGGAGGTGAAGACAAGGTACTTGCCATAGGGCTGGCCGCGGTACCAGCAGCAGCAGCACCTGCATTGCTCGGAGAAGGTGCAGGAGCAGCAGGAACGGCGGCGGTGCCAGCGGAAGCAGCAGCGATGCCAGCGGCAGCATTAGGAGAAGGAGCAGGAGCAGCAGCAGAAGCAGAAGCGATGGCGGCAGTGGCGGCAGCAACAGGAGCAGCAGCAGCAATAGGCACAGCAGCAGCATTCAGAACAGAGGGAGCAGTAGCAGCAGCATTGAAGTGCGGAAATCCACTCCAACCGCAGCGCCCCTTCTTACCCACTCCATGCCACAGCATGCTAGCGGGCCGTTTCCGCAGCACCCCAGTCCTCAGCATGCCGTGCCGTGCGAGCCACGCCGTGTGCTGCCTATGGCGCTCAATCCGCGCAATGTGGGAGGCAGGCGAGTCCGCTGATGGTGTGACGTGGAGCCCTCTCACTGGAGCGCTTCCCCCCCGGAGTCCCTCTCACTGGAATCCCTCTCGCTGCGGCTCCTCCCACGGCCACCGACGCTGCATGGAGTGCAATGCACGTCTTCATGCGCCCGCTGTGGGAGTCCGGCGAGTCCAATGATCGTGTGTCATGGGGTTCTCTCACTGAAGTCTGTCTGACTGGAGTCCCTCCCGCGGCCACTGGAGCTTCCTGGAGCGCAAGGCAGGTCTTGATGCGGCTGTTGTGGGAGGCAGGCGAGTCCGCGTCCGCCGATCGTGTGTCATCATGGGGTTCTTTACCACGTGGAGTTCCTCGGACGCCCACTGGAGCTTCCTGGAGCGGAATGCAGGTTTTCACGCGGCTGCTGTGGGACTTATCGGCAGACATGGACGTGCCTGGCTAGAAGGGTGGTCTGAAATGCTCGGTTGAGAGCTGAAAGCTGTTGGATTGGCACACACAGCCAGTGTGCGCGCAGTGCTGTCGGTGCTGCGCTAGTGGTATGTGTGCAGGTGTGAACTGTTCGCTGGTTAACACACTCAGCCAGTGTGAGTGCAGTGCAGTGCTGTCAGTGCTGCCGCGCGAGTGGTATGTGTGCAGGTGTGATAGTCCTGAGGCTCAGACGAGAGAGCCCTTCGCCGTCAACAACACGCAAAGACCCTCCAGAGCTGCGTAAGTGGTACGTGTGGAGGTACGCTGAGGCTTGAAGGGGTCTGGAAGAAGAAAGGCTTCGAAGGTGTGCTGGTACGGACTGAGAGAGGAAAGAAGCGCAGCAGGCAGCCAGAGCAGCAGCCTCAATACCACCAGCAACAGAAGTAGCAGTTCCAGAGGCAGCACCAGCGGGAGCACCAACGAATTGGCAGCAGCAGTAGCAGCAGCAGCAGCAGCAGTAGCAGCAGCAGCAGCAGCAGCAGCAGATGTTCGCTCCTGCAGCAAGCCTCTGTCCAGAAATGAAGCTGTTGGTGCATCCCGGAGTAAGGGAGCGGCCTATAGTAGTAAGAGGCGACGAAGGGAACCCTTCCAAGCCAGGGGTACTGCTGCACCCCTACTAAGCTCGTGCTACGAGTAGCACAGGTAGAGGAACCCTTCCACCTGTACGGTAGAGTACTCCACTCCACTCCGTGCCATAGGCTATTCTTGTCACATTCCTGCCGCCTCCGCCTTGTTACAGCTCATCAAAATTCACCTGGAAGGCCAAGCCTCTGGTCTGGTTTGAAGGCATCCGGCGACGCGGGGGAAAGTGCGCTTGTTTCCGCCGGTACACCTTACAACATACAAGAAACGTATGACTCGTTTATGCGAACAGGAGAGTGTTTTCTGCAAAAGAAACACACTTCTCCGCGTGCGACTGCCCCCCCTTCCCCTCCCCTCCCCTCCCCTCCCCTCCCCTCCCCTCACCCCCTTCCTCCCGCCGCTCCACTTGTTCATGCATGGACAAGTGGAGCTAGGTCTGGACCTGAGAAGCTCACACCACAGCTAGTAAGCTGAGCAGGGAGCAAACCTATTGTGTCCAACCGTATTCGACTTGGCTTCATGAAGGGCTTTGTAGAATTGAGGCAAATGCAGCTTCCTTAGTAGTTGCCGCCTTGGGAGAGTCCTCCAACTCGTCCGTTCCACGAGTGGCACTCGTCAACTCGTCCGTCGTCCGTCGTCCGTATTCAGTCTCCAGTCGTCAGTCGCCAGTCGTCAGTAGTTCAGCCGTCAAGCAACGAAGCTTCTAGAAGCGCGTCACCCCTCACAAGTTGAGGTCGAACCCTGTCTTTTTCCTCTCCAACAGACAGACTTGACGGGGCATGATCGGGCGAGCTCCGATTGCTGCCAACTCGTTGCTGATACAGACGGAGGAGGAAGGAGAAAGACGAACACCCAGCCACATCGGCGAGCTGTTCTGCCCGAAACGACTTCACATTGAAACTTCTCGTACACCAAAACGAACAGAAACGCAGCGCTGAAAACGATGTCGTTGACGGGAGACATAATCTCACATCCAGAGGAAGGGAGTATTCCTAGTAGTAAGTGGTGTGCCACTAGGGAGTCGCTAAAAGGGGTAGTACCGGAGGTGAATCCTGTCAAGGGTGAAACCCCTAGCCTCTTTATTGTAGGGGTGGTTGGAAAGGGAATCTCTAAAGCCATGGATTGTCAAATTCTTGAGAGGAGCATCCTCGGAGCCATGGATTGGTTCGGATCAGTGAATCTGGCGATCACGATCTCAGCAAGAAACGGGTAAGAACGGGTAGCACATCCGTTCGGACCAAGCGGTTACTACACTGACGTCTTTCGGTCAGGTTGGTGAACTCTGCACCGCACGAGACGGCGAAAGACGGCTGGAACTCACACCGGTGACTCACGGGCAGAAACAGCGCAGGCGCCTTGCCACGCGCTGGATTCATCCCTTGCGATGATTGGGTTTCGGCTGTCGATGTGCCACGTGTGCAGTGCAAAGAGTAACGACCTGACACGTCGGAAGGCCGCTACTAGTACTATACGACAGGTTCGTGCTGAGGACCCGAATTCGACTCAGTCTAAAAACGATCGATCTACATGGTGCAAACAGCCTAATCCACAACTCGCGCGCTGGTTTGAACTAACAGTGCGCAGCTGTCAAAAAAATCTTAATCTCGGAGAGTCAAGCGGCGATTTGCCTGGAAGGTCGCCCTGAGTGGTATACTGTACTGTACCTGGGTCGCCTGAAAAAATCATCCAATGGCTGGAAACCATGCGCCGCCTTGCGTGCAATATGCGGTCGATGCTGTTGGCGGTGCCAAGGGTGTCAGCTCCCAAAAGGCAGCGACATCACTAGCCCGACATCAGCGACATCACTAAGTTTGGCATGAATGGATGACTAGGCTATCAACGATGGATCTGGCGGTGGGATTGGTGAATGAACACACGAAGGTGAAATGAACAGAAAGCAACTCCAACAACACCTGCTGTGTACCTCTGCTCCAGCAACTCCAACCAGACCCCCTGAAACTTTCGGTTCCCCAAACACCAGGTGAACTTGCTAAAGATACACTTAAAATTCAGGGCCCATTCTAGTTTAAACTTTTCTGCGGATTCACACAGCACGCTAATTGTTCGAGTCGGTTTTATGAACCGCGATCTACATTTGCGATGGGAATGGGGTAACCCTAACTCCAAAATTAAAACAATTGAAAGCATCAAACACAACCGTAGACTAGGCCCCCACACAGTACCTTCACAACAGGCTCTTCCCCTTGAATTCCATTCATGTACCTTGATCGGTCATTTTGGCGTGATATGAGGACAAGCGCAGAACGGTTGGGTTGGGTGGGTGGGAGTTTGGTGCGGGGAAGGAGGAGACAGAGCCAGGGCAGGAGGGAAACGAACCGTCAGCTTTCGTCCTCAAAAGATCATCTCTATAAGCAGGGTGCTATTCAGCCAAAGACAAATTCGCATAACAAATTCCTATAAACTCGCCATCGTCTGTACTCGCAAACAGGGCTTCAGATTCGTTTTGGGCCACCCTTAGTAATCAGGGTTCTAGGTATATTCAACCCTGATGCGTAGGGTAAAAAAACAAATACCCGACAGATTCAGG